TACATACATATATATATATATATATATATACATACATATATATATATATATATATGTATATATATATATATATATATATGAAACTAACATAATATATATATAATATAATTGAAGAGTGAAGACAAGGACATTAAACAAATGGGAGTGGGGATCTGAACTCCATAGATGTTCACGTGACTACCATCATTCACTTCACATTAACATACTTCCTACTAACTTGCGCACCACTCGTGATCATAAATTAATTACTTGTTTACCAAATTCTTACCCGAGTGGTTTAGCAATTCACTCAATCTTACCGGATTAGTACGGAAAAAACAAGAATTTTATCCGATAAAAGCGAATGCAAGGATTAAAAATCTGGGAAGTGAAGACTATGACCCTTGTCATGGTTAATGTTTATCGGATAAATTGTTGTATATGAAAATACTATTTTAATAAACTAAAATATTATCGTAAGTGATAATGTTGAATTTTACAGGTAAAAAAAACTTATCTTGACAAACGGCCCCTACATTAGCTAGGTTTCATTAACCAACATTCATGGTACTTAAATTCACAAGCAACAATAATAAATAATGTAATGAAATAAATAGAGTAATGAAGGTAAGATGTGAGTACCACGTCAGTGGCTGATGGTGCCGGAGATACATCTGTGGTGAGGGCCGGAGAAGGTGCTCCAGTAGGCGGTGCTGGTGGGCTCAAAGTTAACGGAGATGGCGCAGCGGATGGAGTCATTGCCGGAGAAGAGACCGGGACGGCAGCTGGTGGTGGTGAGGCTACGGGTGGAGGAGTTGCTGGTGGTGGTGAGGCCACGGGTGGAGGAGTTGCTGCTGGTGGTGAAGCTACAGGTGGAGGAGTTGCTGGTGGTGGTGAAGCCACAGGTGGAGGAGTTGCTGGTGGTGGTGAAGCTACAGGTGGCGGTGAGCTGACGGGAGGAGGAGTGGCAACGGGTGGTGGTGAACTGACTGGTGGAGGAGTGGAAGCGGGTGGTGGTGCGGTGACAGGTGGAGGAGTGGAAGGAGGTGGAGTGGTGGTGGTGGGAGGAGCAGGGGTGGCGGTTGGGGAAGAGGAGGGTGATTGAGCGGCGGCAGAGGCAAAGACAATGCAGATGAGGGCCGTGAGGAAGACGGCCTTGCGATCCATGATTCCGGTAACCTTAAGCTTAATAAACCAATTAAGGAAGAACGATAAAGGGAGAAATTAAAATCAAAATCTGTGTGTGATGGGGAGAAAAGAGAAGGGTGGTGTTTATATACATAGATATAGATCTATGTATCTGGTCATCTGGTGGGTGGGGTGGGGTGGAGTGGGGTGGGGTGGGTCCACATAAGACAACTGTACCCGATGCAAGCAACTTTACCGTTTAAACATTACGGAATACTTATATACACGTAATGTATTTACTTATACGAGAAGAATCGTGTAATATAACTAGACATATTTTAATTTTAATGTTTTTATTTTATTATTTGTCTTTATTGATGTTATAATATAATTTTATATGTCTTTAAGAAAACAATAATGATTTTATTTTTGAATAAAATATAAATTTAAAAAATATATATA